TGTATATGTGTGTGTGTGTGTGTATTAACAGAAATATCATCCTTTACCTCACGCTCCCTTTTCCCCAGGGGTTGAGTAGTAGGCCTGATGCCTGTGGGGTTTTTTGTTGTCTGTTTTTAATAAATCTTTGTATAGAACTCAAAGTCATCTGTCAAGGTGCATTTCTGAACCTGTGGTGTTTGAAATTGTTGGGGGATGTCATTACCCAACTTTAGCCTTTTTATTTGTCTTACTTATTGAGTAACTCTATTAACGTATTAAATAAATACATGGTTGGGAAGATCATACTGACCAGGGTAAAACTCTAGCCACATCAGCCGTTAGCTCTATACACTCTTTCATTGTAAGTGCTGTGAATTTTTTATTTATTTTTTGCTGTGGCGTTAAAACAGCTACTAACACGCCCAACAGTATTTTAAAACATAAAGGCAACTCACCGTCGAGTAGATGATTGAATACTTTCAAATTTCTCTGCTTGTAGATCTCACCAAGTTGTAGCAACAACAGCAGAGTTGCACACAGCCCCAGTGAGCAGTGCACAGCTGTGCGCGCTCTGGAGAGCTGTCTGGAGACGCTCCTGTGCGTAAACATGCACTGTCTGCAGGGCGCACAGCTGAAGCATGAAGACGCTACCCGTTGGACATGCGGTCCGCATCTCTGCTGGGCTGGAGCAGCTGGGTGAAGCTGACATTCCACCGTCAGCTTCACCCAGCTGGCAGGAGCATGTGCACGAGTTGGTGCGGGTAGTGCGGCTGGAACATCCACTCCACAGACTGGGCAACGTCTCCTCTTGTTGTATTTTTAATAATCAAAATAAAAATGCGCAATGACTTTGGACTTATAGGGGCAGAGATTTGCCGGATCCGAGGTAACAGTTGTCGGAACATAGTCGGTCAGAATGAGGGAGTTCCTGGATCTTGTTCCAGCAGGATCCAGCTCAAATTAACCACTGCTTCAGGGTATGTCTTATTTTTTCTAAATGAATGTAGTACAATGGTGTAGGGGCAGGGCAGCCGACTCGGGACCCAAAGGTCCCTGGTCATTGCACATCTCATGGTGTCTCTGAGCAGGACACCTAATCCCGAATTGCTCCCCGGGCGCTTACATAGCTGCCCACTGCTCCACCTGGGTGTATCCCAGGTGTGATGGGTTAAATGCAGAGAGCCAATTTTATCTTTGTATGGGAATATACAATGATAACACTTATTTATTTATCCAATTCACATATATCGGGGGGTGTGGGTCCTTCCAGTTGCACAAAATTAGCCTCCTGGCCAGCAGAGAGCCAAAGGCAATCACATCCTTTTAGCATTTGCTGAAGGACGTATCGACCGGGACCACCCCGAACAGTGAAACGAGTGGTGATGGGTGAACAGTTTTGCCACATATTCCAAAGAAGGTGCTAAATGTAGATTGCCAAAAAGTCTGCAGCTTGGGGCAGTTGCAGAATGTATGCAGGAGTGTAGCTGGAGTTTGTCTGCAACGGTTGCATGCTGGGTCCAGATCGGTCTTGATCTTGGACAGCTTGTCTTTGGACCAGTGCAGCCAGTGAACTACCTTGAATTGGATTACAGCAAATTTTAGGCAGACTGAAGATGAGTAAATGTTCTTAATGATCCTTCCCATACTGAGTCTGATATGTATTCCTCCAAGTCTGTTTCCCATTTCAGTTTAAGGGAGTCCAAAGTAGACCATTGATAGATTTGATATTAGCTGCTCAATAATAGTTCATGAAGTTATGAAGCGACATGCCTCAAAGCCTGATCCTAGGGAGATGCAGGACCCTCCTAGCAATCCATGGGTGTTGTTTTTTCCAAATACGTGCTGATATCTGGCTGTTAAAATTGATAAAGAATGGTTTAGTAAGTAGGCAGCACGGTGGTGCAGCTGGTAGAGCTGCTGCCTCTCAGCGAGCAGGTCCTTGGTTCAAACCCCGGTCCAGGGGCCTTTCTGGGTGGAGTTTGCATGTTCTCTCCGTGCATGCGTGGGTTTTCTCCGGGTGCTCCAGTTTCCTCCCACAGACCAAAAACATGCATGTTAGGCTGATTGGTAACTCTAAATTGTCCCTAGGTGTGAGTGAGAGAGTGAATGGTTGTTTGTCTCGTTTGTCTCTATGTGTCCCTGCGATGGACTTGCGACCCGTCCAGGGTGTCCCCCGCCCCTCGCACAGTGATTGCTGGACATGGGCACCAGCGACCCCCGTGACCCAAAATGGAACAAACGGGTAAAGATAATGGATGGATGGTTTAGTAAGTGTGGTCAACAGGGGAGGGTGATTTAAATAAAACTCTAACGCCAGCCAGTGGAGCAGCAATGCTGCAGAACCACTCTGCAGATGTAGCGCCCAAAGACCAACCAAATCCCAGCTGCTCAGATTAAACAAACGTGCACTTACGATCTCAGATGACCAGAATCCAAGAACACCAGTCACACAAAGAGCTGACGTGCAACAGGAGGAACAAACACGCACCTTGTAGCAGCAATCTGCCCAACTTTAAAGGCATCTGCCTCTCCCATCAAACAGTGGTGTGCTCTGATTAACACGTGGTGCACAGAGTGGGAAGGGTGGAACATCATCTCACCACATAAGGAAGACTGGCAGATTCTTAAACAAATCTAAAAATGTAGGTAGTATATTAACAACAGAGTCCATGCTCAATAATCCAGGTATACAATCCAGCATCTTTCAGTCAGGTCATCTGGACAGTTTCTTTTTTTTCAGTAGAGCAGTTTCAGTGCTGTGGGGAGATTTGAAGCCAGATTGGAACAACTCTAGGATAGCGTCATCCTCCAAGAAACATTTCAACCGAGACTCAACTATATTTTTCCAGTAGTTTAGAGGTGAATGGGAGTCTGGAGACAGGTCAGAAGTTGGACGCGACTGAGGGGTCAAGGTTAGGTTTTTTTCAGGAGAGGCCGGACAGCAGCATGTTTAAAAGCTCGGTCCGAACCACCAATAATTTGCTTTTTATAAAGTCAAAGTTTTCAGTCAGAGCTGCTCTCAGTTCTTTTTTAATCATTGCTACAACATCGGCTCTTATTGAGGCCGGGTCTGATCTCAGAGCTGAGTCGTCTCTCCCTACAGCATGCGCTCTGAAGACATCATTACCTGCAGCATCCCCTCAGTGTGGACTGAACTTGGCAAAAGGGCCTTCTCTACACCGTTCCTGTAACCTAGAACACCTTGCAAAAAGATCTGAAGCTCTTGACTTTGACCTCCTTAAGGGATTTTAAACAATTAAGTTCAATACAAAAATCAATGTAGACATGTTCCTGTTTATAGTATTTTACTCTGTTTCATTATGTAGCTTATTTTTATTTTGTTTTATTTCACTACTTTTATTTACCTTTAATTGTATATGCATTTTATGGCTGTTTATTGTGTACCTTATCTGTGATCTTTGTTTAAAACGGGTCTCTCTTGAAAATGTTTCCATGTGATAAATGAGACTAACCTGCGTAAATAAAGGCTAAATGAATACATATACCTTTTAAATATCAAAACTTAGCTCAACTCTAAAAGATGAGGTGGTACTAAGTGCAGAGCTGTTCCAGAGGCAAAAGACCCGGTTCTTGTGGGTGATAAAAGATCCAGATCTCAACAGGAGTCTAAATTCCCACCACTACATCAGGTTAACCTGTTTAAAAACAGTCGCTCATTTACGCTTTAAAATTTACATTGCGTCAAAAACACAGACTCACTTTTATAAGTTCATACAGGAAACTAGATTTGAAAATGGTTGCGTGAAGGACAGGTGTGCCACCTGGTTGTTCTTCATACGAAGCCTGAGCAAGTCGATTTCCCGCAAAATTGTACAAAGCGAAAGCGGGGTTACGTCACATCCGGCGGTCGTTGGCCAATCACAGCACAGGTGTCTCTCGCGCGGTCTGTCATTGGCTAAGGAGCGAGTGCTGCTCTGTAATTCAGTACAAACATAATGAAGGCAACAAATCGACCTTAAAGCACAAATATCTTATTAATAATTCAGAGATTGTTTCCATCTGGTTTAAAATTGAGTCTGTGGCAGGTGAATGCGGAGGAACTTCAGGTGTAAGGACATTATTATTATTATAATTTTGAAGTAAACCATGCTAGCAGTGCTAGCTCGTTAGCCACCGTTCCGCTGCCTCTTCATGGCTTTCTGCTGCTGATTCTGCCAACACGTTCATGCCATCAGCCAGGGTGGGTCACTTCGTTCCTCGTCCAATATTATGTACACGACGGATTTTGTGTTTTCTGTAACTGCAGCGTCAGTTTCCAGCTTGAACCCCTTCATGTTGGCCCTGCTTTTAGCCGAGCTACCTAGCTCAGCGGCTAATGCGAGTGTGCTTCATGGCTAAGCTAACTTGTTGTATTTCCTGCACCTGTTCTCATCTGGTTTCTGTTCCCTCGCGTCCTCCCTTCTCCATCCCAGAGTTCGGGTCCTGTTATGAGCGGGGCGAGCTGCAAAGCTAACGGGGCCGTGTACCCCGTCTCATCCGCGGTCATGAACCCGGTGAAGAAGCCCAAGATGGAGCAGATCCAGGCCGACCATGAGCTCTTCTTGCAGGCCTTTGAAAGTGAGACTTCCCTGCTTCTCATCCTTGATTCAGCTTCTCATCTTTGATTCAGCTTCTCATCTTTGATTCAGCTGCTTTTTCAGAGTTTATGCCTCCTGGGTACGACAGTTTACTCAATGGTGTCTGCTGTTTTTCCTCTAAGAGCCCGTCATGTTGGTTAAAGTGTTCACAGTGGTCGTGGTCAGTAAGCACACATCGGACAAGCCAGTTTCAAACCTTCACATACTTGCATCTAATCATTGCTCTTATTGGACTTGATGTATTCCCTAAAGAACAGCCTAAACATCCTCCTGTTGTCACATGTTTCTGCATTCAACAGAATTAAATTACAACAAACATGAAGATTAGGATCGTTCAGAATGACAGCTGCCCTCAGTCCAAACCTCTAAACACTCTTTTTATCTTAAGCAGTTATGGATTTTTATTGGGTACTGAGTGTTTTAACCTAATCTGATGTATTGTTTCCTAGAACCAACTCAGATCTACAGGTTCCTTCGCACAAGAAACCTGATCGCAGTAAGCTCTTTTCGCCACACTTTGAGTTGTTTAACTGATTTACAAACCTTTTAAGAACGTTCTCACGTCGGTCTGTTTCCACCTTTCAGCCCGTATTTTTGCACAGAACACTCACCTTCATGTCCCACAGAAATAATCGAACTAACGCCAGAAGGTATGGAGTTTACATTTTTTGTAAATGAGAAGAGGAAAATATATTTCGTATTTAGACGTAGACGCCTAGTTTATAATTTATTCAAACTGGATTGAAGTTTGTTCTTTAAGAATTCTTCTTTCTTCCCATTAGGAAAACGTTCAAAGTGGATGACATGTTGAAAGCTGTGGAGAAAATGAAGGGAGAGCAGGATTCTCCAAGGTACTAAACTTGTGTGTTTTCACTTTTTTAATGCTAAATACACAGTTTGAGTCTTAATTGATGTGTACATTAATACATACCTGCATTACTGAAATCAAACCTTCATGCTTATTTTAGCTTGTCTTCACATCTTCAATTAACATTCACTGGGTTCTTCCATAAGGATGGTAAGCAGACCCTTGTCTTTATTTTTGCCTTTTTACATTTTTGTTTAAGCTCAAACGTTCTCACTGACTATCTGCACCAGAAGCTCACCAGTTGTTTGAAGCGCCCGATTCCCAGCGCTTAGTCGACCTCAACACAAAACTCAACTAGACAAGTTCCTGTGTTTAGTATTTTATATTATTTAGTATTTTAGTGCTTTACAATGTGGCTGTTTACGTTTCATTTTTATGTTGTGTCTTCTATTTTCATTTTAGATGCTTTTTATATGATCATCTGACGTCTATTGTGTCTGAACCTCATCTGTTCTGTGTTTAAATCAGGTCGGTCTTGTAAAGAGTCCTCGAGGCTCAATGAGACTCACCTGTAGAAAGAAAGGTTGAATGAAAACTAAATGTTGGTCGAGGAAGAGCTCGGACTGGAACCAAGTTTACAGATTAAACACAAACCGTTTACTGTCACATGAGTCATCGTCACACACAAACATGTCATCGTCACACACAAACAACAAACATGTCATCGTCACACACAAACATGTCATCGTCACACACAAACATGTCATCGTCACACACAAACATGTCATCGTCACACACAAACATGAGTCATCGTCACACACAAACAACAAACATGAGTCATCGTCACACACAAACAACAAACATGTCCAACACAACGGTTTGGTCCAGAGCAGAGTTCACAACAAGAAACGTAACTGGGAAGTTTAGGAGGACGGACAGGAAGCGAAGAGTCTTTTGTGTAAAGGAAAGCGATTCTTTTTTGGCCTTTCAGACCCGGTTCTGACCCGACACTAACACTTGTTCTGGGTGCACATGGATACGGTTACATACAGGCATGAACGCTCTCGGAACGCACTGAAGAACTTTTCACTCAATTAAAGACAAACACTTATTGTTGTTGGGAAAATTCTACAAAAACTGGTTTTATGTTGGGTGGGAGTGTCTGGCTAAAAGTTTTACTGGACCGTTTAGCAAAATGTTTCCCACTAGAAACGTTGTTTTGTCAGGATTTTACCAATCGGTGGATAGTTGGGAAGCTGGTGTCTACCGGGATGGTTGAGTTTACAAACCCAGAGCTGAATTAACTTAAAACATTTTAGTTAAACGCAGACATGAATGTACTGAATTACAACTTTATTGAAAACGCTGCACGAGAACATTAAACACACCAAGAGCTTCACAGCTCGGTCAAACGTAAAAACAACACAACTTTAATTGGTTCAGTCCGTACGCCAGCACGACGTCACTCAGAGCACAAAGCGTAGAGTTAGAGTGACTAGATCTGCCCAGTCATGGATCGGTCACACTGTCACCGATACGGATAATGTATCGGATCGATGCATCTCTAGTCTTGAACACCGGCAGTCGTACAAAAAGCTGTTCTTTGAATCAAACTCAATGCGCCGTGCCTGAACAGGTCCTGAACCAGCCAGATGGGGCTGATTTGACAAGTGAGTGGGTGTTCAGCCCTGGTCCTGGAGAGACGCTGACCTTTGCTCTGCTTGACACAGCTGATTTGACTAGAGGGACCATTAACAGGCTTCTGCAGAACTTGAAGGCTTCATAGCAGGAAATCAACTAGAACCTGCAGGATAGTGGCTCTTGTGGACCAGGACTGGACTCCACTGGTGTAGAGGAGTCCACTTATCGAATCAGAGAATCAGTGCAGGAACTCGTACCGACACACACTTGTTAACTTGTGGGAGATGCTCAGAAAGGAGATGTTTGGTTTTTGCACATTGTGTTGAATCTTCCACTGAGTTTTCTACAAGGTGCTCAACTTTGGTCAATTCTTCAAATATTGACAATTTCTAGATGTTTCCCATGCAAATACAAAACAAGTCTTGACTTCTTTGTTGTTTTTCCGTTCAGAAAAGCCATCTCAGAATTCTGAGAATGATCAAAATTCTGTGTCCTTAGAGGTGCTACTTGTCAAAGTCTGCCATAAAAAACGCAAGGTAAGCAAAATGATGGCGCAACATGGAGGACACGAGCTGCTTCTCTTGGTCCAACTTACTAGTGTGTGTCTCGTCCTGCAGGATGTCAGCTGCCCGGTAAAACAAGTGCCTACAGGTAAAAAGCAGGTGCCTTTAAACCCCAACTCTAACCACAGCAAGCCGGGCTCCTGCCCTTCCTTGCTCGTCCCCAGCTGTGAGTTTGAGCCCAGCAACAGCCACATGGTCAAGTCCTATTCGCTCCTCTTCAGGGTGTTGCGCAACGGCAGGAGGGACACCAAAGGCCTGCTTAACGGAGAGACCAACGAAAATATTGGTACCTCCACGTTTGCATCAAAATGTTCCTCAGTGGATAATAAATGTCTCACTCAGTGTTTTTACTTTGCTAAGATGTAACAGACACTCCCAGTAGGAAGAAGAGGAGTTCAGCCCATAGAGAGGAGGAAGACCCCACAGAGACCTACGTCGCACAGATGACTGTCTTTGACAAGAACAGGTGAGGTTTTGTGCTTTGGGTTGACATTTTATTATTATTATTATCCACTCATTGAAAGATGGACGTGTTATGGTACCATCTCCGTCGTAAACATTCTCTTTTACTGGTCATACAGGTGCTGGTCATCAAATTAGAATATCATGAAAAAGTTGATTTATTTCAGTAATTCCATTAAAAAAGTGAAAATTATACATTATATTCATTTATTACACACAGACTGATATATTTCAAATGTTTATTTCTTTTAATGTTGACGATTATAACTGAAAAACTCCAAATTCAGTGTCTCAAAATTAGAATATAACTTAAGACCAATAAAAAAATGATTTTTAGAAAGGTTGGCCAACTTTAAAGTACGAACATGAAAAGTACGAGCATGAAAAGTACGAGCATGTACAGCATCAGTACTTTGTTGTTGCTCCTGTTGTCTGGATTACTGCATCACTGCATCGTGTCGTGGAGTGGATCAGTCTGTGTCTCTGCTCAGGTTCTGAGAGTCCAGGTTGTTCTGATCGTGGCCTTCAGCTCTTCTCAATTGTTGGCTCTGGTGCATCATCTTCCTCTTCACAATACTCCATAGATCTTCTCTGGGGTTGAGGTCAGGAGAGTTTGCTGGACATTAAGAACAGGGACACCATGGTCCTTAAACCAGGTACTGGTATCTTTGGCACCGTGTGCAGGGGCCAAGTCCTGTTGGAAAATGAAATCGGAGTCAGAGAGATTTATTTGTCACACACCACACGTGATACATGAGGAGGGATGAAACTGTGCACAGGGTCCCAGTTACATCCAACAAAAACACAAATTGCAAAGAAAAACTGTAAGATCCGAGCCATGAACTAAGAATATACTACATTCACTAAACTAAGAATACACTAGTTTTATTTTTTTATTGTAAATTTATTCATTTCATATAAAAACAATGACAATTTTTAGAAAGAAAAAAAAATTTTAAACAAAAAAAACACACACTAACATACACTAATCATTAATGGTACAAAAACAATGCGCCAAAACAACAGCAGCACAAACATGAGTCAGTGTGAACAGATGAGGACTAATGAACATGAAATAATCAGCAGCATGAGATCAGCAGCATGAGATCAGCATCATAGATAGTCAGCAGCACATATCAACAGCCAAGTGGCATCACAGCTAGGGGTGCACCGATTGCAGTTTTCTGGTCGATCACAGATTTCTAAAAAGTCTGACCTGCTGATTCCGATTTAGTTTTATAAGAGACACTGTCAGGTGTTAAAGGTCACAATGCACCTTCAATTTTACAATATTTATTGAAAAACATCCCCTTGAACAATATCCTAGAAACAATTCAGACTTGTTTTAACTGGCCATGAGGTAGTGCTCTGAGATATTAATGAAGTTCAGACAATTGTTGTTAAAACTAAAAAAAAAATAGGTAAAATCGGTTTCTCCTGCAAGTATTGGCCGATTTCCCAAATTTAAGGAAATCTGGGCCGATAAATCGGTGGGCGATTTGTCGATGCACCCCTAATTACAGTGATTATCACAGTGATCCTGGTTAGAGGTTCATGAGTCTAACAGCCTCAGGGTAGAAGCTGTTCCTCAGTCTAGTGGTTCTACACTTAATGCTCCTTAACCTCCTTCCTGAGGGGAGTGAGGCAAAAAGTGTGTGTGCTGGGTGAGTGTGGTCCTTCATGATGCAGGTGGCCCTCTTCCTGCATCTGGAGGTGTAGATGTCTGTGATGGTGGGGAGGCTGACTCCAACGTCTTCTGTGCAGCCTTCACCACTCTCTGCAAAGCTTTTCTTTCTGCAGCTGTGCAGCCTCCATGCCACACGTTGATGCTGGAGCACAGGATGCTCTCCACTGCACACCTGTAGAAGGAGGTGAGGACTGAGCTTCCAGACCAGCTCGTCTCAGCCGTCTGAGGAAGTAGAGTCTCTGATGAACTTTCTTCATCAGGCTGGTGGTGTTGTTGCTCCAGCTGAGGTTGTTGTTCAGGTGCACACCCAAGTACTTGTAGCTGGAGACCACTTCCACTGGAGATCCTCCTATGTTTGGGTGGGGGTGGGGGGGTTCCTTCTGAAGTCCACGATCATCTCCTTCATCTTCTTCACATTGATGTGAAGGTTGTTCTTCCTGCACCAGCTCTCCAGGTGTTCCACCTCCTGCTTGTAGCAGGACTCATCATTGTTTGTGATGCATCCCACCACCACTGCATCATCTGCAAACTTTACAATGTGACAGCCTGGATGGGTAGCTGCACAATCATACGTGAGCAGAATGAACAGGAGAGGGCTCGGCACACAGCCCTGGGGGGAGCCCATGCTGAGGGTTATGGTGGAGGAGGAGAAGTCGTGGATCTTCACAGATTGTGGTCTGTTGGTTAAGAAGTCTAGGACCCAGTTGCATAGAGAAGAACTTAGTCCTGGTTTGAATAGTTTGTCCATCAGGGTTTGGGGGAACATGGTGTTGAAGGCAGATGTGAAGTCCACAAAGAGCATACGGACGTAAGAGTCCTTCTGCTCCAGGTGGTTGAGCGCAGTGTGGACCACAGAGGAGATGGCATCCTCTATTTATCGATTCTCACGGTATGCATACTGGTGAGGGTCCACGTTGATGTTGATGTTAGCTTTGATGTGGATCATGATCAGTTTTTTTTTTTAAGCATTTAACGACTATCGGGGTGAGGGCTACCGGCTGATAGTCATTCAGGCCAGTCACTGTAGGGCAGTGGTGGCAGTCTTCAGGCAGGTGGGAACTGTTGCCAGGGTGAGGGAAGAGTTAAATATGTCGGCCAGCACCTCGCTGTGCTGATCAGCACAGTCTTTCAGCACCTTCCCCAGGATGTTGTCCAGGCCAGTTGCTTTGTGAGGATTGATCCTCCTGAAAGTACTCCTTACTTCTGCTGAGGTCACGCTGAGGAACTCTTCTTCTTGTGATAAGGTGAGTCTGGTGCTGGGTGGTCTGTTTGGGTCCTCAAAGCGTGCTTAGAATCTATTGAGAGCATCAGGCAGTGATGGATCCCATGGGCATTGTGCACGTCTGCCTTTATAATCCGTTATGCACTTAATGCCCTTCCACGTGTTCTGTGTGTTTTGTGAGGAGAAGTGTCCCTGGATCTTCTGTGCATATGCTGCTTTGGCCCTTTTTAATACCAGTATCCAGCTCTAATTTTGTCCTACTCCGCTCCTGTGAGTTGCCATACCTGAAGGCAGTGTCCGTGGCTCTCAGCAGGGTGCGTACTTCTGCATTCAGCCAGGACTTTTGGTTCGAGTAGCTTTTCACATTCCTGAAGGTGGTGATGTCACCAGTACACTTAGAAGTGTAACACAGGACTGAAGATGCATATTCTTCTAAGTCTAATGCCACTCCCTCCTTGACAGCAGCTTCTCTAAATACTTGCTAGTCTTTGTGTTGAAAGCAGTCTTTTAAAATAAAGTCACTGTTTTTTACCCACCCCTTTAAACACCTTGATCAACTTCTCCTGACAGGAGTCAGGGTAAGGAGGACCCTATTACCTCGACAAAAACAAATTGGATTCACAATGACGGCTTGTTATTTTGCTGTTTTGTTGGTGAATTCTGGATTGTCTACAAATTCGTGTGGATGTGTTGAAGCTCGATCGTGCTCAGACTGAATTTAGAGAGCTGCAGCAGGGAGCTGGAGCAGCTGTTATCAGGACTGTGAACTCACTGGTAGCACTCATGAATGGTGGGAATAATCTTGGACAAGCTGTGAGCTCGACTTTAAGGAATCAATTCAGCTGTTTAGAGTTCCATCAGAGGAATATATACCAGCGAGACTTTAAGGGTGCGTTCACACCAGCCCTGTTTAGTCCGCTTTAATCGAACTCTAGCTTGTTTTCCTAGAAAGTCCGGTTCGTTTAGGGAGGTGTGAACGCGCCATTGAACTCTGTCACGGAACAAAAAGGTGAACTCTGGCCCGGGCTAAAACCTAGGTCTGGGTCCAGTAGAAGAGAACTCCAGCACGGTTCCAGTACAGTGTGAATGTAAACAGACCGGACCCGCTCCACAGGACAAACAAACACACATTTCTCTCATATGGAGCCGTCAGCTGACTTGTGTGGAAAACAATATTCTCCATGGTCTTCTGTCTCATCTTCTGCTCATGCTGAGTCCATTGTTGAAAAATGACAAAATATAACTCCTAAAACTGATAAAACTTGATGCCACTTCGTTTTTATTGTTATTTACAGAAGAAGAAGACGTGTCTTCAGAGGTTTTTGTGTCGTTTCTTTCAGTAGTTCTTGGTTCTTTGTTTGATGCCTCAGATCGTGCCCTGTCCAGGACACGGAGTGAGAGATCTTTTATTTATTCCGTCTCTCCTCATGTTTTCTTTCCTTTTCTCATCTAAGCAAAATAATATTCTGAATAAGAATAAGAGGCCGCACTTTTGTAGCAGCAGCTTCGTGCACTCCGCCCATCTTTCAGACGACTGTACGTACATATTCTCGTTGTATCTCGGTGCAATGATAATTAAGTTTATTCTGATTCTTTGTGTCGGTGTGGAGCGTCTCAGCGGGGGCAGGTAAGCAGGCGCCAGAAGGATTGATATGTGATCAGAGTCTCAGGTGGGGGCGTTTTTCACGTTGGTGTAAACACGGTCCAGTTTGTTAGTTTTTCGCGTCGGTGACATGCTGATAAAAAGTTGGCAGTGTCTCCTTCAGATTACGTGGTTAAAATCACCAGCTACCTCATAGAAAGCCTCCGGTGTTTGTTCTGGAGCTGATGTTGTTCTTTAGCTCCTTCAGGGCGTCTTTAGCATTAGCGTCCGGAGCTATTTAAACAGCTGTTAAAAACACTTACGTAAACTCTCGGGGTGAGTAATGTGGTCGACACTCAACTGTTGGTTGCTCTAAAGCCTCGGAGCACGTACTGTTTATCAGCGTACGGTTTGTGGACCAACCTTTGTTTATGTAAACACGCACGCCCTCTCTGTGTGTCTTTCCTGTTTGTTCGCTGCAGTGGTCCACTCGGGGGGAAAAGCCTGTTGTTCATCTGAAACGCTGAATCAGACGTGTCGCTTTTTAGCCATGTCTCTGTGAGACAGAGTATGGCACATTCATTCATCTCCTCTGAGGCACTCGCGCTCAGTCAAAGCAGGTCCATCTTGTTATCTAAGGACCGTTAACACGTGGTTAAAACCACGTGTAACTTGAACAGCCAATCCCGAAACTCGACACCGAAAGACGAGGCATATTTTGATACGTATACAATACAATACAATACAACTTTATTTATAGAGCACTTTAAAACAACACTGTTGGCCAAAGTGCTGTACACTAGGACATACAAAAACATAAAAACCCCACACGTTAAAAATGTGAAATAAAATAAAGATAACAAATAAAATAAAACAAATAACTTAGAGTCATTAAAACCAACATTTCAAACTGAAGTAAAAGCCAAAGAGAAAAGATGTGTCTTCAGAGAAGACTTAAAAACAGGAAGTGAGTCAGCTTGTCTGACATGCAGAGGCAGCTCGTTCCACAGTTTAGGGGCAGCGACTGAGAACGCTCGGTCACCTCTCAGTCTCCTGTTGGACCTAGGGACGACCAGCAGCAGCTGATCTGCTGACCTGAGAGAGCGAGAAGGAGTGTACAGCTGGAGCAGGTCGGACAGATACTGTGGGGCGAGACCATGAAGACATTTGAAAACAAATAAAAGAACCTTAAAATTAATCCTGAAGCGAACCGGGAGCCAATGTAGTGATTCTAAAACAGGGGTGATGTGTTCTCGTTTTTTGGTACCAGTTAAAAGGCGGGCAGCTGCGTTCTGAACCAGCTGAAGTCGAGTCAGTAATGACTGGCTCAGACCGACATAAAGAGAATTACAGTAATCCAGGCGAGTTGTGATGAAAGCATGGATTAAGATCTGAAAATGATGTTGTGACAGAAATGGTTTGACCTTGGCCAGTTGTCTCAAATGAAAGAAGCTGGACTTGATCACTGATTTAATCTGCGTGTCAAGTTTGAAGTCACTGTCCAGCCTCACGCCCAGGTTAGTTGCTGTCTCAGTCAGATGTTCTGTTAAAGGACCCAGATCAGCATGGATATTGGAGCCTTCACTAGGCTTAAACAACAAGACCTCTGTCTTTTTGTCATTAAAATGTAAAAAGTTTAGTGACATCCATGCTCTGACTTCTGCCATACACCCCAGGAGTTGTTTCAAGGAATGGTGTTTGCCCTGTTTTAACGGAACATAGATTTGGCTGTCATCAGCATAAAAATGAAAAGAAATGCCATGTTTCCGGAGAAGATGTCCCAGAGGGAGTAGATACAGGGAAAACAGAAGAGGGCCAAGTATAGAACCCTGAGGTACTCCACAAGTGAGAGGGGCTACAGAGGACTCCACAGCACCAATGCGCACGCAGAAGTTTCTTTCTGTCAGATAGGATCTGAACCACTGTAGAGCAGGACCCTGAATGCCCACCCAGTTCTCCAGACGAGACAGGAGGATGTGATGGTCTACTGTGTCGAAGGCAGCAGTCAAGTCCAACAACATTAAAACTACACAGTCACCAGAGTCTGCGGCTAAAAGAATGTCGTTGAAGACTTTCAGCAGCGCAGACTCAGTGCTGTGGTGAGTTTTAAAGCCAGATTGAAACTGTTCAAGAAGGTTGTGGTCGTTTAAGTATGATGTTAACTGATTGTAAACAATTTTCTCCAAGATCTTAGACATGAAGGGCAGTTTTGAGATGGGTCTAAAGTTGGACATTACTGTGGGGTCTAGGCTAGGTTTTTTAATCAGTGGTGTCACAACTGCATGTTTAAAGCTCGCTGGTACCTGTCCACATGCCAAGCTGTCATTTATAATTTGGGACACATGAGGAGCCACGGTGTGAAAAACCTCTTTAAAAAGACGAGGTGGGATGGGATCATTTGGGGATCCAGCAGGTTTCATACGACCAGTGATGTCAGTTAAGGAAGACAGGGTGACGAGCTCAAACTGACTGAAGACAGCAGAGCGTGTGACGGAGACGGAGGGGTCGTAAGAAGGAGGGCTTATGAGAGCTCTAATGCTTGAAACCTTATTGATAAAAAAGCTCAGGAAGTTGTCACACATTTCAGTGGAGTTCTCTGGGCTGGCTGATTGTGGGGTGTTAAGAACAGAGGTGATTGTTTTAAAAAGCACACGTGGATTGCTGGAGTTGGAGGAGATGATGTCAGAGAAATATTTGTTTTTTGCAGCTCTAACAGTGGACTGATAGAAGCGCCAGCTGTCCCTCAGAGCTTGGAAAGACACCTGTAGTTTGTCCTTCTTCCACTTCCGCTCTGCTCTCCTGCACTGGCGTCTGGCAGATCGTGTGACCTCATCAGCCCAGGGGTCAGGCTTTGGTCTGGAAGCTCTTGTTTTTAATGGAGCCACAGCATCTAAAACGTTTTGACAGGCTGAGTTAAAATTAGATGAGAGAGCATCGATATCTGAATGAAGACCCACAGGGTCTGTGGGGCTGATGGCAGAACTAAAAGAACAGTTCTTTTGAAGCAGAAGCAGTTCGGTCGGTACCATAAAAGAACTGAAGTTTGGTACTCAGCCCTACATACTGTCCATCATCACTAGTCGGAGAGTTGTATGCGCTTTTCCTCATCCTAGCTCCAAGGTCAAGGTCACAAATCAAGGTCAAATGTTTCAAACAAGGTTTTTGTTTGTCCAAGCTGTAACTTCTGATCTGCTCTAAATCTTTAAAAGCTGAATAAATGTGGCTACACTTGTTTCTCGTTTTCAAAGCTTCCACTTTGTGTCTCCAGGAGACTGCAGCTGCTAGACGGAGAGTACGAGGTGTCCCTGCAGAGGATAGAGGAGAGTCCTGTGAGCAAGAAGCGAGCCACGTGGGAAACCATCCTCGATGGGAAGGTAGACGATTTGTGTGACTGCTTTTTCATTTACCTGCAGCTCTTCACCTTATGTATACTTACGCACGCCTCGAGTTTATTTTTTAACATCATGTTTCTGAAATCATAAAAAATGCTTGAATATATTTAAAACTTGATCAACTTTAACGTGAAGTTGGGCGTGCCCCGTCGTTGCTCTTCCTCAGAGAATGCCACCATTTGAGACGTTTTCTCAGGGACCCACGCTGCAGTTCACGCTGCGCTGGACAGGAGACGCCAACGGGAAGTCCACGGCTCCTGTGGCCAAACCTCTCGCTACACGCAACTCTGACAGCTTCGGTCCGATGGAGACCAGAACCAGCCACCACCGGGCCGCCCTCATGAGTAAGCACCAAGTCCAATTAGAGTTTCTGAGCTTTGTTTTGTGGACGATTTCTGTCAAACAACCAGTTTCATGAAGAAGTTGTGGTGGTGGTGGTATTGGTAGTAGGAGTGATGGTAGTAGGAGTGGTAGTAGAGGTAGTAGTGGTGGTGGAAGTGGTAGTAGGAGTCGTAGTAGTAGAAGTTCAGTTATCAGGAGAGACTCGAAGTAGAACCGCCACTCCTCCACGTCAAGAGGAGCCAGTTGAGGTGGTTCCTCTGGTAAGGAGGCTCCCTGGGCACCTCCCTAGGGAGGTTCTTTGGGCATGTCTCAACTGGGAGGAGACCCCAGGGAAGACCCAGGACACGCTGGAGAGACTACGTCTCTGTTGGTTTGGGAACATCTTGGAGTCCTCCCAGAAGAGCTGGAAGAGGCTGTGGAGAGAGGAGGTCTGGACCTCCCTGCTCAACATGCTGCCCCTGACTTGGATGGATATAAACAATTTAAAAGCCTCAGAAAAACTGTACAAACTACAAATAGATTAATGTTCACCTTTTATTTGTGTTTAACCTTCAAATAAATTTGAAATCACCATCAAATAAACATAAAACTCTGAACTTAGTCAATATTAATAGATTTAACTTTAATCAACAACGTAACCTCCATGTTAGTTTTCTCTTCTGAAACAGCTGGGGGGGTTCAGGGACACGCTGGCTCAAACTTTATAGTTCTTCATCTTCTGACTCAGCAGACTCTGTCCAGTGGAACAAGTTCGATGTTCCCACCACTAGTTGGAACGACTCTCCGGCACATTTTGCAGCAACTGACTGAAACCTGCAGTTTATTGGATCTTGGAAACCTGGACCACGTCCACACCGCAGAACTTTCCTCTCAGCAATTACGTCATCTGCTTTACTTCGCTTGTGAAAGCTGTTCAGTCACATTCTTATTACGGGGGAGTGGTGGCGCAGAGGTTAGAAGATGGGCCTGTGATCGGAAAGTCGCAGGTTCAACTCCCGGTACCGTCAGCATCAAAATGTGGGTGGAAAAGGTGGAACACTCACACCTGCCCCCACCCTCATTGGCCCCACTCTGGGCCCCTGAGCAAGGCCCCTAACCCCCACCATCTGCTCCTAAACAGGTCTCTGTTGAAAATGAGTTCTCGTGACTCAGTGAGACGACCTGGATAGATACAGGTAAATAAAAAATTCTGACGGTCATGGGCACTCGTTTTGAAGCGAAAACGTAACGCTCGTTGGAGATTAGCCTGCTACTGCCACCGCTCTCTGGACTCGAGCTGTGTGTGGTGTGCGTCACCACGCACGTACGTAGTTGTGCCGCGGCCGCTTCAACCCGGACAGAAAAAGAAACGCGTCAGTGAAACGCTGTCATCGTATCGAAATATTGAAAATGTGCTTAAAACTTGTATCACCGTTATGAGATGTGTTTTCATGGCCGTCAGTAACCGGACCAACGTTCGGAACAAAAGCGCGTCATGTAAACACCTCGTTCGGGTTATTTTTTGTTTCTTCAGCGTGATCAGAAATAATTTGTGATCAGAACGAAACGGGTGGTTTACGCCGATTCATAACCCGAACGGTGCGCATGTAAACGCTTGACAGTGTTGCCAGGTGAGAAATGCAGGATTATCGTACTAGAGACATAAAAGTATCGTATTTTGAGGGAAATTATCGTACACCCGTCATAAAGATGGGTCCGCTTCCAGACCGGCTCTGCTTCTTCTTCTTGTCCTCCCTCATGGGGCGGGCGCAGCGGACTATCAGCCAATCATGGCCGTCGTTCTGAGGCAAACGCGTCACTCGTATTAACTTTTAGAAAAGCACGACTGGCTGGAATTTCCAGCCGTGCGTCTGTTTGCAGACACTGATGCCTTCAGGGTTCACAAAAAACTCCGACAGACAGTCGTGACAGGCTGATGAACTGATTACAACCACACATTCACCGAATGATCAATTGATCGTATATCTGGCCTTTTTTGGGGTTATTGATCGTACAGAGGGCAAAATTGTCGCACAAATACGATAATTATCGTACACCTGGCAACACTGACACTTGATCTGTTCGTTTTTATCTGATGGTGAGAAACTGACCTGACTGCACGTGTGCGACTTTTGTCATTTCCTCCTGGCTAATGCTAATAATGTTAGCATGTCAGGGAAGTAAACTGGTCGGTGAGCGACATCATTTCTACTAGAAACTGAGACCGAGCTCAGAATGATGTGCGTCACCTGCAGCTCAGTCAGGGAGCGCAGCAACGTCTCCACCAACATTAAAACCTGCCGCGGCCATTTTGGTGCTCAGCTTTGTTTACGTTCATCCAGGAAGTAGATCTTCTTCTTCTGTGGTTTTTGAAGGAGAGTTCACCACTCTGCGCACGTCGGTACTTCTGTTCAGAACAAAGCGCGCTGCGTGTAAACGCTACATTTGAATTATTTAATCTGAAAACATTTCAATCCGGTCACAGAATTTTGCGCATGTAAACACATCTGGTGAATAAAAGTATGTTGTGACATATATTGACTTGTTGTCCAGCCCATATCTCACCTGTTTGGGTCGTTGGCCGCGCGTGACCGGGTTCTGGTTAGAAATGACAGCTGTACCCTGAGCCACTGCTACCACGGTAATCCACAAACTTACTTCGACATCGTACCGTGCTCTCATCTGGAGCCCACGGCGTTCTTAACGATGCGTCACCAAGACCCTGCAAAGACCGTTTCACTTTTACGACAGAACGAGTCAGGAAGGGATCGAACAGTTCATCCATGCTCAAGTCGTCACAGTTTGTTCTACAGGTTAATTTAGACACTTTTATTTAGTCTCAGACACTTTATCTGGTGATCCACCGCGCCTTGACTTGTCCGTCTGTTCTGTCAGCAGTGAAGCAGTCGGTCAGCACAGACATCCATACGAGGAAGGAACTGGTCCCCAGTGAGCCGCGACAGAAGCTGCGTATTTTTTATCAGGTACACATTTTAGTCGTAAGCACCACTTTGGGCCTGGGACACTGAAGTACCAGAACCTTCTAACTGATAACATTTTGAGACCCTGTAAGAATTTTCATGAGCTGTGGGTTGAACCTCTCGGTGCCTTTGTAGTAATTCTGTGATCTGTTTCTAACTAGTTCTTGTACAACAACAACACCCGGCAGCAGACGGAGGCGAGAGATGACCTTCACTGTCCTTGGTGTACTCTGAACTGCAGCAAGCTCTACAGTCTGCTCAAACACCTCAAACTCTCCCACTCCAGATTCATTTTCAACTATGTGGTAAGACCGTGCTCCTGTGTTTGTCTTCTTCTGGGGCCTCATGTACAAAAACTGGTGGATTTTCTACTAAAACATGGCATGGGCTTAAAACAAGGGGAACAAATCCAGATGTTGGGAACTTGTTGAGGCGTGTTGGTGGTAAGAAACCGGTGCACCGCTGCGATGAGGACGTTTCACCGTCTCTGGAGACAGTGAGGGAAACACTAAGAAGGACCCGAACAACAAAACATCTTTTTAAGGTGTGCAGTTTCTGAGTTTGGAAATTGTTTGGGTTGTGAAATGGGTACGAGTTTATTCTGCACTTATTTCCCGTCTTTCTGTGGATAGCATGTTGACATACGTGTCCACTGATGAGCTACAGGGCACTTGTGCACAAACGATCCAACTCTTTGAACGTCTCTTTAGAACAAACGGTGGGAATCGTCACAGACAAATGGGAGTTGTTTCTCCTCCTCCTCCTCCTCAGAAGAAGAAGAAGAACACCTACTGAGACAAACGGACAAATGGGAGTTGTTTCTCCTCCTCCTCCTCCTCAGAAGAAGAAGAACACCTACTGAGACAAACGGACAAATGGGAGGCGCACAGCACTTGTGATTGGTGAACATGTGCTCAGGAGTGTGTGTGTGTGTGGGGGGGGGGGGCTTAATGCTCATGTAGTACGGCCGTTTGTCGTACGTCACTATATACGACAAACAGTGATGAAGGCTACATCGTATGTGATGATCACTACAGCACAGGACTATCATTCACAAGTGAACAGATCCAGCTCCCTTCAAGGAGCCCTGTGTCCATCTCGAATTGTCTCGGTGGTTGGCATCGGTACGAGGGTGTGATATCGTTGAATATTAAAATGACTATCGTTGCAATAAACCCCCTTTCTCCTCTTCATATTCTATCACGATCTTTCACAACACTGTGTTTTACCGTCTCCACGATCACTGGGTGGGACCTTGAAGGGCAGTCCAGTAAGTTGGCCGTGTGTAACGTTGGTCTGCAGAATGTGATCTCTGCTGCTTACGCTGACACTAGTGACAGTGCGGTGATGGGAAGGTACGCTGGTGGTTTTCACAGCTGATAGTCCGGTAGACTCGGTTCTACTGGGGACCAAAATTCAGAACATTTGTTTACATTTCAGCTGGTGGTTCATTCACGCTGCACTGAGTCAGTCGAGCCAACCTGCCCCCCCCCCCCCCCTGCCTGTGGTGGCGCTGCACCAAGAACTACTGAGGGAAACGACAAAAATATATGAAGAAGACACGTCTTCCTCCTCTTCTTCTTCTTCTGGAAACAAAAACAGAGTGGCGTCAAGTTTTAGGAGTTCTGTTCTGTCATTTTTCAACAATGGGCTCATCATGAGAGGAAGATGAGGCAGAAGATCATGGACAATGTTTTCACACAAGGCGGCTGACGCCTTCGTTTGAGGTAGGAGAAATACGTGTTTTTTGCCCTGCGCGGTACTCCACTTCCTGCCTGTGGAGCGGTCTCCGGTCCACTTGCATTCACTCTGCATTCAAACCACGCCAGAGTTCACTTCAACCGGACCGAGACGTGGGTTTTTAGGCGGACCAGAGTTCACTTCAACCGGACCGAGACGTGGGTTTTTAGGCGGACCAGAGTTCACTTTTTTGGTCCGTATCAGAGTTCGATTGCACATTCACACCTCCCCAAAGGAGCTGGGCTTTCTAAGCATACGGACTAGAGTTCGATTAAAGCGGAGTAAACAGCGCTGGTGTGAACGCACCCTTGCGTTCTCTGTGGCATTGTTTTGATACGCTGCAGTGTCACAAGATCTACTTCCAGTGTTGCATTAATCTGTCACCAAGATCTTGCATTGACGTCGGAGTCTGACCACTGCACAAAGCCTTCTCCTACACATCCTGAAGATTCTCAGTGGGTTAAGGTCCGGACTCTGTGGTGGTCGGTCCATGTGTGAACATGACGTCTCATGCTCCCAGAACCAGAACCAGAACTGATCTTTCACAGTCCGAGCCCGATGAATCCTGGCATTGTCATCTTGGAACATGGCCGTGCCATCAGGGAAGAAACAATCCACTGATGGAACAACCTGGTCAGCTGACCTCATTCTTTGAGCACAAACTTTTACTGAACCTGGACCTGACCAACTGCAGCAACCCCACATCATAACACTGCCCCCACAGGCTTGTGCAGTAGGACACATGTCTTCCTGGAAGACGATGGGTCCTCACTGTCCTCCCAGTTTTAATAATGTGTTGGACAGCTCTTAACCCAGTTTTAGTTTCTACAACCTCCTGGGATGTTTCCTCTGCTTGATGCCAATGATTTGACCCTTCTCAAACAGACGGACATCTTTTCCACGACCACCATGAGTCTTTCATCATGTTGTTGAAGAAATGAGAAGCAGCTCATTGCACCAGTTGGAGTTAAAGAACTTGTTGCAGCTGAAAGATGATCGTCCGTGCAGTGATGAACCAACAGGAGGCTCGGACCTGTTTGATGAGTTACATCCAGGTGGAGACTTGTTTTTGACCAGGATGTGTGTCATTAAATTGTGGAGCCCAAACAGTTCGACGTCATTAGTCACACTTTACCTGCTGTAGCTTTTTGCTGCCACTTGGGGGCAGTGTGACAATAATCCATCTATTCACTTCCTTGACCTCGAGTCCCTTCAGGATCTCTTATGTTTCTTGTATCACTGTGCAAGAGTGGGGTACACTGACACCCCCCCCCCCCCCCCCCCTCATATTTTATTATTCAAAAGCTGCAGATCGTACGGGAACGTGACAGGCCAGAGGTTCTGATCCAGATAAAATCACGTCCTACAGGTGATTTCTGTGTGTAAAGAGGCAAATTTTATTTATTTATTTAATAAAATCTGTTTGGTCAAATAACGCTAAAAGTAGAAGTTTTGTTCTCCGTGTGGTTCTACATTTGCAGAAATGAGTTTTCTGATTTGTGCATAGACTTTAGGGTGTTTGTTGTGAATAATGCTCAGCTACTACCAAACCTGTTGCTTAGCTGTGGCGGCCATCTTGAATCAAGTTGACTCCAGAAGTTGGTCATAGATGTACGTCCAATGACTTCTTTCTGAGAACTCCATGTCGGTCTGTCCACTGGTCCATTTGACTCCAAACGTTCATGAGGTCCGCTCTGGTAGTTGAGACGTTAAAGGCTTGATCTAAACTGGGATGACCAACACCATCGCAGGGTCTCTCTTTTTGTTTAGTGCAGATTTCTAACTCCCGATCTTTTGCTACACTTTCAGCCTCACCCCAAAGGAGCGAGAATAGACGTGTCCATCAACGAGTGCTACGACGGCTCGTACGTGGGCAATCCTCAGGACATCCACAGCCAGCCGGGCTTCGCTTTCAGCCGAAACGGACCTGTGAAGAGGACGCCTGTCACTCACATCCTGGTTTCCAGGTAAACACAGACTCATTGTAGGAGCTCTGTTCATTGTCAAATCATTTTGCTCCATTTATTAAGTTTTCTAATCATCTGAGCAAAGACCAAACTTCAAACACAAGATGAACAGCAGTGGTGTTGTCTTTTTGTCCATTTGCTGCACCTCCACCTCCGTCGTTCATGTTCAGGATGTGTTGTCTCTTGCCTCCAAGGCCTAAGAGGACCAAACCAAGTCTGTCCGAGTTCCTGGAGTCTGAGGACGGAGAGCTGGAGCAGCAGAGGACGTACGTCAGTGGACACAACCGCCTCTACTTCCACAGCGACAGCTGCGTGCCGCTGCGTCCTCAGGAGATGGAACTGGACAGCGAGGACGAGAGAGACCCGGAGTGGCTCCGAGAGAAAACCGCCACGGTGAGAACGTGTTTCTCCCTAAACAGTTATGCTTTTGTAGAAATGGGTTATTAAAGGAGGGATTGGAGGCATGTCATGATTCACCTACGGTTTGGAGGGTTTAAACTGTGTTTATTAAAAGATCAAAGTTCGTTATTGTCGTTTGCATCGCAACTTTTTTTCTCTCTGTGCTCTCGGTGAAGGCGACGCGTCCTCTTCTTCTCCGTCCCCCCACTTCCCTGCTTTGCTCTCTCGTCTTGTGAACCTTTAAAGAGCCTCTTTTGTTCCTGCACGCCTTCCTAATTACATGGATTTGATCAGCTGGTCCCTCGACAAAATTGATCAACTTCTCCTGACAGGAAGTCAGGGTAAGGACGACCCTCCTACCTTGACGGAAACGATGTTGGATTCATGATGACAACCAGATTCTGCTGTTTGCGTTGGTGAAATCTGGATCGAATCGTGCTTCTCCGTCTGACAGTCTGATGGACCAGTCTGGGTTTGGCGGTTGCCAGGAGAACTCGTCTGACCGCATTGTGCCAAGTGTAAAGTTCGGTGGAGGGGGGATTAAGGACTGGAGCCTCTTCGGGAAGTAGAACCTGCTCTGACCCTTTCTGTAGAGAGAGTCCGTGTTCACTGACCAGTCCAGCCTCTTGTATGCCCAGGTGTTTGTAGGTCCTGACCACCTCCACATCAACCCCCTCAACTGAGTCTGGCCTCAGGGTAGACCCAGACCTTCTGAAGTCCACTACCATTTCCTTTGTTTTACAGATGTTCAGCTGTAGATGGTTGGACCACACTACCAAGTCCTCAGTCAGGGTCCTGTGCTCCCTCTCCTGTCCGTCCTGCACATACCCAACCACTCAGCTCTTGTGATTTGCCATTTTGACTGGTTTCCCCGCTCTGTGGACCGGATCACAACTGGTCACTGTGTTGGAGCCGCTCCACTCTGTGTGGTCCTTCCTCGCTCTATAATCGGACTTTAATTCCTTTGGCTTAGCCTCTTATCACTGCTTTTACGTGTGGGTGGAGCCATGCTGCCGTCATCTCTGATTCCTCTGTAAATGCACTTGTGGCGGCGTTCATCAACACCACCAGAGAAGAAGTGGAGGTCCACATGTACTTTGTAGTTCTGCTGGGCGGCTCTTCCAGTGATGTAGCTCCGCTGGTCAGTCAACAGCTGCTGTCTGCTTACGTCACCTCGGAGCAGTTCGATAACACATGGTGGTCCCATAAAGGGCCGAGCGGGGCGGTTCAGAACCCATGAGAGCGGCCGAGCGCCACACGAGATCAAAGAAAGTAGTCGTTAATTTTGACGCTCTTGAGAATCCTCATTTTGAGCTCGTGTTGGTATTTTATGAACGTTTTTTTTTTTCTGCAGCAACTGGATGAGTTCACAGACGTGAATGAGGGGGAGAAGGAGGTGATGAAGCTGTGGAACCTTCATGTCATGAAGAACGGGTATGTTGATGTCCTTAATCTGGTCTTTGACGAAACCAATCATGTTTTTATTTTTTATTAACTCTTTATTTATCCAGGTAGTCTCATTGAGCCACGAGAACTCATTTTCAACAGAGACCTGTTTAGGGAGCAGATGGTGGGGGTGAAGGGCCTTGCTCATGGGCCCAGAGTGGAGCCAATGAGGGTGGAGGCAGGTGTGGGTGTTTCACCAATCCCACCCACATTTTGATGTTGTCAGTCCGGGGAGTTGAACCTGCGACTTTCCGATCACAGGCCCATCTTGTCTAACCTCTGTGCCACCACTCCCCCAGTGTTTGAACAGTAATGTTACACCAGCCTTCTCACTAACTGTTAGCGTGGGAGGCTAACTGTTAGCGTGGGAGGCTAACTG